GACGCTCCTCGACGGCCTCCACGTAACCTCGGCCTCGTCGATACTTTGATGCACTGATCCTTTTTTTCTAGCAAGGCAATCTGGATCCGAAGGAGCGCGCGCGGGCCGAGAAGGAGCTCAAGAAAGAGTTTCCGAACGGCCTCCCGAGCTGCGGCACGGACGCCCTCCGGCTCACGCTGGCCTCGTACCTGTCGCAAGGTACTCATCCATACGACGCATCCATATCTCTCTGTATCGATCGATCTAGGTCGCCAAATCAACATGGATCTCCAGCGCGTCGTGGCGTCGCGGCACTTTTGCAACAAGATGTGGAACGCGCTGCGGTACGCGCTGCCGCTTGTGCAGACGTCGTCGTCGTCTTCGCTCGAGTCGCACGCACCGTCCATGAGTCTGGCGGACCGCTGGATTCTCAGCCGCCTGGTGCGACGTTATATGACACATATGGCATGTGGATATGGACCGTCGAGGTACATGTAGGCGGACGCAGTGACCAAGGTGCACGACGGCTACGGCACGTTCAAGCTTGCTACGAGCGCGAATGCGGCCCAGCGCTTCTTCATCCAGGAGCTCTGCGACGTGTACATTGAATTCTCCAAGCCCGTTCTGTACCACGAGGATGCGCACGCCAAGGAGGCCGCCAAGGCGACGCTGACGACCGCCTTGGACACGTCGCTGCGTCTGCTGCATCCGATTATGCCCTTTGTGACCGAAGAGCTCTGGTACGACCTAAGAACGTAGTAGTACGATGCGTCACCTCGGTGTCTGTAGGCAGCGGCTCCAAGGTGGCAGCGAGCACTCGCTCATGACGGCCGCGTTCCCCGACCCTGCGCAGTGGGCGCGCTGGGTCGACCGCGACGCCGAAGCAAGCATGCAGGTTTCGACGGATGGATTTTTTCTCGAATTCTGGATAAAACACTGGATGGTGTAGGCGGTACTGGATGTCATGCACGCGGTGCGGTCGTTGCGGCACACGCGCAAGACGCTGGCGCCGGATGCGTCGACCGTCGAGTAATCATCACCTTGTACCCGTTGACGAACCGACCTGCGTTCGTAGTGGCTTGAAGATTCAGTGCAGCGACGCGGCGACGATGGCGCTCCTGGAGCGCAACTTGAGCGTACGCCGTCTCTGTCGCAAGCGGCTGGATGTCACCCGATCCATAGGACATTGAAGCGCAATGCCGGGCCGGCCCGGTCGCGCTTCTGACCACCGCCGCCGACGAGACCAAGTCGCCGCACCACGTCTGGCTCACGCACTCGCTGCACGAGCACTGCCAAGGTAGATTGACGATCGCCACAGGATCTGCAGTGGGATCGCTGGCGGCGACACACGCGTGGATGGCTCATTGGGCGTGTATAAAAACGTAGTGCTCTTGCCGCTGCCCATCGGGCTCGAGACCAGCGGCCGCATCTCGGCCGAGGTCGACCGGCTCACCAAGCGCCAGGCCAAGGCCGCCAAGACGCTGGCGATGCTAAGCGCCAAGCGAGCCGACCCCAAGTACGCTGCGAACGTCCCCGAAGCCATTCAGGCGCAGGACGACGAGCGCATCGCGCAAGCCAGTGTCGAGCACGCCAGCCTCGGTGAGAGTTTGGCCGCACTGGCGACGCTGCGGGCGCAGGTTGACCGGCTCCAGCGTGCTTGAACCTAGACCTATAGACGCCAACGATGTGTGGCGAGGAAGCCAAGAATACACTGTATGCAGTGCACTGTTTTATGATGGGTCGGACAGCTGTGTCGGCGTCAGTCCAACCAAGTTGCTTTGCATTTCGAAAAGCTACGTTCGTTGCACGCTGGATGTCGCGGGCTGCGTGTTATAACAGCGTCGTTGGCGCTTGATTCGAGGGCATTCAGTATTCGTGAGGGTGGCACCGGACGTAAACACCTAGTGCGAACCCAGACGCTCCAAATCTCTCGTCATTTGCGCACAAATTAGTGTGACCTCGAGCCCGCGCTGGCTCGTGGGTGGTGCATCGTACGTACTGGGTAGCGACAGGCGCACAGCTGCTGCTGTCGGAAGAAAAGATCTCGGCGCAACGTCTAACGCCACATCGACCGTTCACCGGCCTCAAAGTTGACCGAGATACTTGGCAGAGATGAGCTGCACCTCGATTGCCTCGGCCGTCGGCGGTGATCCCGGCGAGCGCACTTGCCACTTGCGTATCCAGCGTCGCGCAGTGCCATCTTCCCGCCTACCACTGTCCCCCGTACTGTCGTTCCCGAGTTATAACTCCTTGAGCTCCGGTTCAGAGATCTCGAAGCCCAGCTGGCATGTGACACGTGGTGACAAGTCACATGTGCGTCGGAGCTGCCAAAGCCACTTCTCATCATCGTCTCAAACGGATCGCCCCGGGCCTCGGACACGCCATGGACGCCGGCGCGGAGCACTATGCCTACTAGCGTCGACCTCGTATCTAGGGCTCTCAGGTACACTGCGCTTCGTATTGAAGAGGCTGCTTCCTCGTTGCATCTCGCTGGCTGCGCGCGCTTGTGATCCTTGGGTTGTTTTCCGAACTGCGCCGAACCCATTTCAAATCACTTGGCTTTTGTATGCGCCAGCACACATCCCCTGCCAAACTGGTCGGCAGCCAGCTGTGGAGACAGTCTGGAGAAAGCGGACCAAGCATCGCGTCAGGGCCCTCGGCCAACCCGTGCTTGTACGGCCGTACGTCTGCCGTCCCTTTGCCTATACTTTAATCAAGCTAAGTCGAACACGTACAAGTACAACTCTGGCGTCACCGGAAGGTGACAAGCCGCCAGTTGCCAATTTCCAGCACCGAAATCCCACGACCACCATGGCCCAGAAGCTCTCGCTCGCGTTCCTCGTGCACGACTTCACCTCGCCCTCGAGCTGCCCGCAGAGCCCCGAGACGAACGCGACGAGCCTGCGCAGTCCGCGCGTGAGCCCGCTCATGGCCAAGACGCGGTCGCCGCCCGCGCCGCGCTCGCGCCCGTGCAAGCACGCGGGCTGCACCAAGTTTGCCGTGACGCGCGGCCACTGCATCGCCCACGGCGGTGGCAAGCGCTGCAGCGTGGCCGACTGCCCGAGCGGCGCCAAGACCAACGGCCTCTGCTGGAAGCACGGCGGCTCCAAGACGTGCTCGTTCCCCGACTGCTCCAACCGCTCCAAGACGTACGGCGTGTGCTGGTCCCATGGCGGCGGCAAGCAGTGCAGCGAGGCCGACTGCATATTTTTCGGCGCTTCGCCACGGCCTCTGTTGGGCGCACGGCGGCGGCAAGCGCTGCCGCGCCGACGGCTGCCAACGGCCAGCGTACGAGCGCAACGACAACCTCTGCGACGTCCACTGCTCCAAGAAGAAGCACCGGAGCGCGCCGTATTAGTGTCTATATCTCCACGTATTTAATAGTTGTCAGTATGTTCTCTCTTGAGTATATTTGGCGGTGCTGGGCGAGGTTCTGGGCGGTTGGTCCGCGTCTGAATGAACGAACCTCGAGCCCATGCGCAGACATTTGAGGGCATGTGAGATTGCGACACTGCTGCAGTAGATGGAGGTCGTTGTGTTTGATGCATCTAACGATGTGTTCAAACTTGTCCACTGGCATTGACCATCTCATCGCGGGCGTCCTCCTGTACATCAAGCGCGCGCCTCTACCGCCGGTAATTGGAGCTCTCGTGATGGTCTTTCTGCTCGATTTCGCCCCGACGATCTAGTCGCAGCATCTACGACGAGAACCCGACACCCTTGGTCGCTGGCATACTAAGAGCTATGTGTCGCTCGAGAAAGCGCTGCAGCGGGCGAACGAATGGTCCCCGGCGCTGCATGGGACACTGGACGCCACCCGCGACGAGCTTTGACCGTTCGTCGAGAAGCTACAACTCAAGTATCGGATCGCGTACTTGGCCACCGCGTGCCAGGCAGCTTTGGTCGGCGGCGGCGCGCTTCTACCGCTGCCGGCCTTCGACGGACGACCATGCCATGACGGACATGAGCAGCTCTGCGTGGAGTGCGTCGCGTCCTCCTCGACGATGAACATCAATGCTGATTTCTGCCTCGCCATCAAGTAACATCTTGTCGAGCGTCACTCGCAGCGACTCGAACTCACGACGGCAAAAGGGGCTTCTTCTTTCTACTGCAAAAGCTGGTACTATGTTGGAAGTACGAGTGCTAGTCATGAACTCTCTCAAAACGAATCACACCTTTGACCATTGGCAGAACCAAGGCGCAAGGCAGCAACAACACGTCCCCGACTCCTTTGAAAATCTTTCAACGCGAATTGCTTGCAGGTCGTTGCGACCCTATGCATCGCCAGATGCTTCAACACTCGGCCTCGCAACGTAAGAGGCTCGCATGAAAACATGACAAAAGCCATTCGACCGATTTTCATCTTGCTGCCACCAACGTCACCAACTTGGAGCGGCCCCGCCGATGCACTGGGTGAAGATATTGCTACACAACTTGCTTGCAGGACACCAAAGATAGAAACCAGAACTGTAATATAACTAAATTCAGCGTCCACGAACGCCTCGTCGGCAGGGCGCAGCCCACACGTCCAGCTCACCACCATTCGCCTCCGACAACGATGGCGTCCGCTGCTTTGTACAACGCTGCGTTTGAGAAGCATCTTCAGTCCCAGTCATATATCTTTTGCACCAAACCGTCCGCTCAACTGAGCCCAACAGTCGCTCTGGACGGCGTCGGCGGTCACCTCGCCTGGCCGTGGACATCGATGCAAGAGCAGCAGCTCACGGCGCTGTACACCAATATCGTTCCTGCAGCCAAGATCACGATCCTCAACGCCCAAAAATGGAGCAAGCGCCTCGAGACAAGGATTCTCCCAGCTTTGCAGCGGGCCCTCCGCGTCAAATGCGATGTCCGTGTGGTCTTGTCCCATCTCTGCATCGACTCTGTCGGGACGACGCTGGCACCGACGCCCGAGATACCGCATGCCGTCGGGACGCTTCTGGTGTCCTTGCCGTCGATGCACCAGGGCGGCGAGCTGACGTTCACTAACGGCACCGACGTTCTGGAACTAACGGCGTCGCAGCAAGTAGTGCAGCTCTTTGCTTCGTTCAACAATATCACGAGTGCACCGATCACATCCGGCTGTCGCGTGGCGCTTGTGTACGCCTTGGTGTGCGACCCAGAAGCGTGGGTGCCACCGCCGACCCGGGATGACGTCATCGAAGCCCTTGCCGCGATCGCCCAAGACCCACCGCATGACATTCAGCGCATTGCGCGCGCAGTCCATGTCGTTGTTGCATATCCGGAAACTCTCTCGTTTCAACACCTCAAGCGCATCGACAAGACGCTTGTGGACGTCCTCGTGGCGACGGGTGGCTATGACATTTCGCTGGTCGACTTCCAAGAGACCTCACCCCCCACCCCCGACGTCTACGGCGGCTATGATCTTGAGGACGACTGGTGGGGCGAGGACCCGTATTTCGAGTACGAAGTGCAGTACGAGAACTGCGTCACTCGCATCGAAAGCCTTGCTGACATCCCCTTCGCCGTGACGTCGGGTGTCCAAAACAAGGGCGCCGACCTCTTCTTGAGCGACGACGCTTCCGCCAACGGGTCCGAGTGCCCCGCCACCGCGATCCTTTTCTGGCCCAAGCGCTGCCGCGTGGTCATCGCTGGTCCGTCGCGCGCGGTGCCTTTGCTGAAAGAGGCCATTCGCAACGGTCAAATCACGGACCTCTTTGGTCTCAGTCTCCACGACTTTGTGCTCGGTACGCTGACGGCGTTCGACGTTGCTGCCAGCGCGATCAACGACAACGACGCAGTTGAGCTCGGGCATCTCTTGCTCCAGTACAACGACGTCGAGGTACTCGAGCGCTTCCTTCGGAATACGCTGCCCCTGTCGACCTGGCGAAGTGACGGCGCCGCGGAATGTCTCCACGAGAGCTTGGAAACCTTTGGGTGGCCGGCGCTGCTACCCGCCGTCGAGGCCTTCCTTGCACGTGTGGCCAAGAAGTACAACGGCACCCGTGCTATTTGTCGCCTCCTTGCCAGCTTGGCGGGTCTATCGACGGAGCCTGAAGCTCTCTGTCCGCCGTTGAACCAGCCGTTCGCTGGCGAGTTTCTCAAGGCGTGCTGGCAGGCGGCGCTCATGGAGCCCTGTTTCAAACCTGGTGACGCCCCCACCGAGCACTCCATTCTGTTGGATTGGTACTTTGACACTGGGCTGCCGACGCGGCCGGGCGACAACTACCTCGGTCAGTGGCTACCACCGCCGGTCCTCTTGATTGTCGACAGCTTTCTGTATGCGCGCCGCGTCGGCTCGCACTCGGCGCTCACGGCGGCTCCGTCGCCATGGCATCAATTGAAGTATCTTCCCAAGGCCTTGCTGGCGGTCATTCCGCTTCAGCCATCACTACATCAAGCGCCGTACGTTGCCGCCATCAAGACTGCGTTGACTGTGCAGTCGAAGCACGGGCATTTGAGCGCATGTGAGATTGCGGCCTTGCTGCAGTACATGGAGGTCGTCGGTGGTTTTGATGCGACGCTCCTATCGACGTGTCGAGCTTGTTCCCGACCGATCACCGACATCCTATCGGCCATCCTGATGTTCGTCCAGCACGCGCCTCTATCGACGGCAACCGGCGCTTTCGTGACAAGCTTTCTGCTCGATTTCGCCCCGACACTCCAGCATCCACGCCGCGACAGCTACGGCAAAAGCCCAACCAGCTCGGTCGCCGACCTTCTCAGTGCCCTCGTGATCGTGTCGTCCAAAGCGGCGCGAAAGTGTGCGGCCGAATGGCGCTCGGCGCTACCGGGAACTCTCGACGCCACCCGCGACGAGCTTTGGCCGCTCGTCAAGGAGCTGCGGCGCCAGGTATCGGATGCGCGCTTCCGAGAATTGCTCGTCTACTTGGCCTCCGAGTGCCGGGCGGCTTTTGTCGGCGGCGGTGCGCTTGCCCCGCTGCCAGCCTTCACGGACTACGCCTTCACCGACATTGAAATCGACGCAGCCCACTGCGGCGAGTGCGCTGACTTTCGCTGCTTTCTCCGCACCGGCTGTGATACGGTGATGACGATCGATATGTCTCTCTGCCTCGAGATCGAGTGCGCCGTCCAGCGTCACCCTCAGCAGCTCGAACTCGAGCGCGACTATGAAGGCGGGTTGGACTATTTTATCCTGCGGAAGCGAACGCAGCCTGGCATGGCGTCGACGGACGCGGCCGAAGCCCACTCGCGCCGCGAGGACGTGCGTTGGGACGACATACAGCGCGTCAAACAACTCAATGCGCTGCTATCAGACCTCACACCGAAGCCTTCGGTACGTCGGCCGGTGGAAGTTGAGAGATTGACCCTCTGCTGCGTGGTAGGAACCCAAGAAGGGCAAAAAGCGCCGTATGCAAAACGCATGACAACCTGTACAACACTGCGTCAGGATTTACATAGTATTCCAAGGACGATACTCAATATTGACTCGATGCTAACAAATACGTTGACGAGGGACGAGGTGGTCGTTCGAGATGTCGACAAACCGTACAGTTGGTTTGTGAGCACGCCCGTGCTTCGGCTGTGCATAGAACTCTTTGCCATTGCGATTTCAATCGGGATGGGACGACAAAAACGCGGTGTTTACGCCTGTACATGCAGGGCACACTAGGATGCATCGAGTGGCGTCAAGCCCAAGGGTAGGTAGTCCATACTATACTTATAGTACTTTAAACACTCAACTAATGTCCGTCAACACGAAAGATTCGCATCGTTTCATTTCCCTTGCATTTTTAGCCGGCGCCCTCATGGAGCAAAACCAAGAGAAGAAGACGACCGAGCACCAAGCGATCGACTTTTACCAAAAGGCAAGTCCTCCTCGATCGTCTGTCGGAATCATGCGATAGAAATGACGATATTGTTGTCTAGGGGGTCGAAATCGCCCATAGCGCGACGGGGGTTGAGGACCACGTCAAGGCCATTGAGCTCATCTCGATGGCGATCGCAGTCCGACCTGGCCACGCCCGATATTTCCTCGCGCGCGGCAACAGCCTCCGCGCCATCAACGAGTTTGAAGCTGCGATCTCCGACTTTGACATGGCCATTTCGCTCGACGACAAGTGTCCGACCTACTATGCCAGTCGGGGCACGTGCTTCCGCAAGGTTACCCTGAAGTCGCTCGCACACTCTGAGAATATTTGCGTAGCTCGGACGGGCCGCCGATGCGCTGGAAGACTTTACCCTTGCAATCGAGTACGATACGAAGCGGGTACACGGAGCAAAAATGCGTTGTAGAGGCCAGAGGGCTGTGAGTAGGGCACTCACTATTTCAACCGCGCGCTCGTCCTCTACGACATCAACCACTATGAGCTTGCGATCAGCGACTTTACAAAGGCCCTCGACGATGCGTCGGGTGGACCTCGCACGGAATTTCGCGCGCTCCATAGCCGCGGCAACTGCTACCGCCGGCTCGGCCTCTTTGGTATCTAGTCCGCAGACGTAGCGTGGAGAGATTGTCTTGAACGGCGTAGACAAGTGCGTGGACGACATGATGCAAGCGATCAAGCTTGAACCGCGCAACTCGACGGTTTACAACTCGCTCGCGCAGTGCTACATGGAGGTAGCCGCATGGACCATGCATGTCCAAGTGGTCACGGCAATCAATGCTAGTACCATGATGTGGAAAGTGCGATCAAGCACTTCTCGACCGCGATCACGCTCCTGGATTCAAACCCTGCGTACTACAACAACCGCGGCCAAGCGTACTTTGAAAAGGTGATAAATAGTGATAAAAACGGCAAGAAAAATGCTAAAACACAATGGGGATTAGGGCCACGAGTACGATCGCATGGCGCTCGCAGATTTCCACCTGGCCATCAAACTTGACGGCAAGGACGCGCAGGCCTACTACAA